ATCCGCGATCACACCTCTGCATCCACCAGTGATAGCACACTAGAATCATTAGTTGGTATTAATGTCATATTACAGTTAATGAAGAGCACCATAGCTACTCATGGAAGCAGAACAGAAAAAGTATTCATACTAAATCACACAGTGCAAAACTTTGTACTGTGCTTTCCCCAAGTGCTAGTGAAAACTGCAGTTGTTCTAAAAGCTGTACTATAATTTGCTTTTTGATAACCACTCAGGAGAAAAAGCACCAGTGAATATTAGCATGACTACTAATCAATTATTAATAGAGGTTGTCTCTGATTACTTATGTAGCACATCCCTAGAATAATGAACCTCCAATTACATTGTCAAAGGGCAATATGGCCAGGCTCAAGCATGCCAAGTCTCATGACCATACTTTTTCCATTCACCTTTTTGAGGTGAGTTTTGTTGCTGGTAAAAATAGCCTTGATTTGGGAAATTTTACTTAATTTAATTTGCAACCAATAAACATTTCCTTTTAATTCCTGACTCATGTGTTGAGAAATGAAGATATAAACTGTCTAAACTCCCCTTCTTCTTGCCATGCATTGTGCTTGGGCCCTTCAGCTTCCACTGATGTTCAGTATAATACTTCAAAACTAAGAGTATCTTCTATGTATTGGGTTGTAGCACAGCAGGCTTTGTTTAGGTCAGTTCTGGGCTGTGCATCTGAAAGAGGACTGGAGCTGGCATTAAGGTCCTGACAATCTTCCCTCACTCTGAAGTGGTCCGGAGCTCAGAATATGAGACAATATGGACTCACACTTGATAAAGAGGATGTATTCTTCTGTAGTCATTTTGTCTCAACAAGGAAAGCCTAAGTTTTACAGGCTGAAAAAAATCAGCCTAAATTTTCCTCACTATTTTATTTCCCTGGATTTCCCAGAAACACTATCTGTGAGCAAATCATATACTTTTTAAACAACTCACCATTTTCCAGAAATCATTCAGGAAAAGATAACAATAATAATAACATTATTCAAAGGTGAAAGTTTTGTCTGGAAAGCATCTTATGTTTCATTCTGGCTCCACTAATGACTATTTTACAAAAAGCAGAATGGTAAATGACATTTAAAAGTTCAAAATTGAGTATACATATTAAGTGCTTATGTTTGAACAGTTTAGAGGCAAATGATATCAGACATCACTGCCATTGTCCTAAGCAATACAATGCCACTATTATCAAGTATTCCATACCTGATAATCAACTGAGCCCATGAAGTTGCATCATGAAGTTAAGATATTAAACAGCATTTTCTATAGAACTTAAAGAAAATGCATCCTGAATACTGATTTAATCTGCCTCATGAGAAATCAAATACTGGTTTATGTATCAAAATACAGTCATTATGGAGTTTTGAAATACAAGTGTGAGATTTTGTAACACATTTACCTACCTTTTACTTAAGAGTCCTGTACTTCTCTGTGGCTTTAACCTGAAATATCAGGGTCCGAGAATGCATCAGGGTGCAATTGTTTTTTGATTTGAGTTGAAAGAAAAAAATATGGATTGAACATGGACAGAAAGATTCAATTATTAAGAAAGGACGGATCAGATTTTGTGATAGCCTGGGATTTGAAAGTGTACAGGTAAGGAGACTTGTGTTCAAAAGGTGAGGGTCATGAGCACTGGATATGAAGATTTAGGTTAAGAAGGTGTAGTGGTTTGAACCTTGTTTTCCCCCAGAGGCTGAAAAGTGGTAACCCCCAGGGGTGCAAACCCCTGGAAGTTTTGAAGTTCTACCCAATGAGCACTCCTGCAGAAATGTAAACATATCACAAGCACCGGAAGAGAAGAGTTGTAGTTTGAGTTGTTAGAAGTAGTAGTTGTTGTTGTAGGAGCCATGAGGAAAGGGACCCGGAGCCCCTCGGGGCCTCTGGGGCCCCCCAGCCCCAGATGGGGGCTACAGGGACCTGGAACAGCATAAAGCTGGGCTAGGTACCTGTAGTTGTGAGCTGGGAGATGTTTTCTCCAAACTGGGCAGCGGCCGGAGAAAAGCAACCGAGTTGGCACTGACCAGAGAAGCGGTGGCAGAGAGCCAGAAGAGATAAGACAGAGCAACAGAGACATGCAGCACCGCAGAGAAGACTCCTGGAAGGAGATTTGAGGAGAAGAGAGCCCGCAGCAGAACTTCGGAGTTCTGGGGGTAGGAACTGTACCAAACCCCTAAAACTCCTTTGAGACCTCCTGGAAAGGAGGAAGATGATGGACTCTTACTTGAAAGAGCCTTGAAGTGCAGCATGCACTGCAGAGAGGAGCTGAGAAGCTCAAAGGCGTCCTGAAGCTGGACCGGGACGGAGAAAGAATGCAGGGGGGTTGACCTTGGGCCCCCTCACTGCTGCTGCTAAGCTAGCAGCCTTGAGACAGAGCACAGAGCTCTGCAAAGGGGAATTTGAATCCCCTGAGGAAGGGACTTTCACGAAGATGCCCCTGCATTTCGTGATATACCTGTGGTGACGCGAGTCTGGTCCCTGCTGGTAGCCCACAGGCGAGGCCTTCGCTTGGACCGAAGGAGAACCGAGGGGCTTGGAGACCCCCTTGTGTGTATTGAACAGAGATCCAGCTACAACAATCTAGTTAAGGCTGCATACATGAGATGAGGAGAACCTGCTGCCTTAGAAGAAGCTGCTACCCTGAGAGACTGGAAGGGATCTGTCCTTCTTTCCCTCCTGGACTTTTATTTGGAGGGGAGAAGAGATCTGATCCATTGTAAATACTATATGTCATGGTAGAGATAGTTGTGATTGTGTGTATAATGTGTTATAGTATTTATTTGTACAGTCATTGTAATATATTCCCTTTCCCCCACTTTGAGTCTAGTTGTGTTTTGTCTGGAAAAACCCATCTCACATTGGGTTGAGATGTGGGAGGGGGGATGGAGCTAGGGAATCGGATTTTGGAGCTATCTCAAACCATGACAGAAGGGCAGATCTAAGAATTTTCAGTCCTCAGTAAATTTACTAAATATATGCTTACATTTCAAAGTGATATACTTCCAAACTTTAGTAGAAGTTAGATAACGTGCATATTTGTAGCAAGGTATCGTTCTGAGTTACACGGTTACATAACATAAAAAACCCAACAAACAAAACCAACCAAACAAAAAAAGCCACAAAAAAGGACACAAAAGTAGTAGCAAAACCACACAGTAAGCTTAGCATGTTAATATACCCTAAAAAGTTCTAAGTCCTCCAAAAGAAACAACTCTATTCTGTCAAGCTTTTAGATCTCACATGCTGTGGATGAGTTTAGTTTCCAGCATGCTTGGGTTTGATTTGCTCTAGACTTTTGTTGTATGTAATTGTACTTCTATGAAGCTTCTAGGTCAAATCAGCTATGCCTAGTGAGTTTAGACACTTACATGATTAGGTTGCCAATAAACTAAAAGAAGTCAGTACTTTGTATATAGGGAACTATTATCTGCCTGCATTCTGTTTTGGCAGTTTAAATCCTTTCCTTGGTTTTGAATATTAATCCTTATTTGTGCAATCCTTATCTGTCTGACTGGGTTATTTTGCTCTGAATTAATGTAAAAAACTAAATCGTTGTGCTACAAATGTACTCTGTTGCATATTGTAAAATCACTGAGATTTTTTTAATCTTTTGCTAAAGAAGAATGATCATAGAAAATTGTGAATTATTCTATGCATGGGAAAAAGTCTTGTGAGTTCATCTAATTAATTGCAACATGGTAAAGAAGATGAGAATGTATTACAGAAAGCTGAAATGTTTTCAATCTCTCTTTTGAAAGATTAGCAGCGACATCTCAATGTGAGAAAAACAATCCAGGGGGAGACAAATCCTGAAGAGTTCTTGAATAGCTAAAAAGACAAGAAATCAATAAGGCCCGTAATTATTGGCACATAGATTTAATGAAGTGTAAAAGTTAGGTGTTACAACAAATTAAAACTCCATTAATGTACATGGGTCATGAAGAACAAAAAATGATTAAGAAAAAATGCATTCTCTTCTTTTCTCATACTCTTAATTCAGAATTATTTTTAATATAAGAAATAGCTGAAGGAGACTTAAAACAGCAATTTAATGGGAATTTGACTTATTATGAAGCAAACCTAAGCACTTTTTAATACTTCCCAAATGGATATAGAATTTTAAACTAGTGACAAGCTTCACTGAATGGACTTGGAAATAATATGAAATGTACTACAGGCAGGTTAATTGGGTTCATTTTATGAAAGCATATTCTAAATTAGCTAAATTTATCCTTTTTTTTTCTTTGTGAGAAAAAAAAGGCTGAAGCTACTACCATTGGGTTTCATTCTGAGATGTAGAAGAATCTGACTGATAGCAGTGGGAACTGGGAAGCTGATAGTTTACACGTGCATCACAGGGAATTCTTAAAAATATTTGTTGTCCATGGGGGATGAATCAGACAGCTTTGACAAATATTTGCAGTAGTATGAGTGTCCTTCTTGTCTTACTCTAAGATTACTGCTGGATAAGTCTTCCTGTTTTCATACAAACCAAGCTTCCGACAGAGATAATATTATTTCCTGTGACATTGTTACACATGTATTTCCCTTGTATTCTACTAAAATGTTACTAATAATTTAGTTTGATGGATATTAACACATTATAGAACAAAATTTAATACTTTGGAGTAAATATTAGTCACAACTTGTTCTATACATACATCTTCACTATACGTGCAATCTATCTACATGCATAATGATACCTAAATGTTGTAGAATTTTATTAGATAAAGCATACCTGGTACATCACAGAAATAGATTATCTAAACACTATGTAAGAAACAGAATGGAACAATCAAAACACAAACACATTTAGCTATCAATTTAAGTAAATTACAGTACTAGAGAAGCATTTGAATTTGTGTCCAGGCATAAAATGCAAGCCCTTAGAATAAAGTATGCACAAAAACCCCTTGAGAACAAGATTACAGTATTTAAGTAATAGCCTATAAAGAGCCTCCATAGTTTTCACACAGGAATCTCACTTCTAAATAGTTAATCCATGTCCTCAATTCTGATTCAGGACATTTTTCTTGACTGTCATTCCCCCATGCTGAGAAATACTCTCCTGGCAATGCCTAATGTCCACGTCTTTCCCAGTAACTGCTTGCTAACCCGTTGGCAGAAGAACCCTATTTGCCCACTGGAAGCTTGATTTTCTGTCAGACTTTGAAAAAAAAGCAGAAGAAAACATCACTTGGGCAGCTATTTCCACTTGGGCATGGGAAAAAGGCAGAGAGAGTCAAAAATAATGATGAGCTGAATTGGACCTCAGGCCAGGCTGGAAAATCTTCCAACCATATTGAGAAGATGACAGCTAAGCACCATAATTATAAAGATCAATATTCTTAGAATCTCTTGTTATTTATATGCCATATTTTTTGACATTATAAATACCTAAAGGAAGTTACATGCAAACCCAAAAATCTCAGCTACCAACAATCAAATGTTTGAGGATATACTGAGAGAAACCATTCTGCTTGAACCACCTCTTAATAAATTTCTGCTGTAGGGTTTGAAACTACTTGATTCTGACAGAAACCTGAGGTAAAACAGAGATGGGAGAGAAGCTATGCCTCAGGAATAAATCACTGCTGATGACAACAAAAATCTATTCCTGTGGAAAACCTACCTTTTTTTCCAAAGTGTGTGCTTTATTGATGGAAATTGCCTAAGTAAAAGCATATAAACCCTGAAGTTACACTGTGTAATTCCTATCAAGTCAGATTTACAATAAGAATAGAGTATTTTTATGAGATTTTTAAGTGGTAAATTCACATCAAACATCAGTCTACTACATTCCTGAAACATTTTCCTCCAGAGTCAACAGTCGATATCTCTATATATCCTGTGGTAGACTCTACAATATAACTTACATTGATTTCATAGTTTAGAAATAGCAAAAGAAAATTTGGGTGGGGTTTTTTTGTTATATTTCATCATTCCTATGATACAGTCTGTGGCAAACCATAGTTCAAGGAAAAAGTTAAATCTTAAATGGCTCATGCAGACTTGAACAATAATTACCTTTTATTTAGAAACAAAATTTAATAGACTTTAGCTATTTGGAAAACTTCTCCCAAAGCCAGTACATGACAGATAACAGGAAAGCAAAAATAAATATTTCATTTTCTGTTAAATGAAAAAATTTATTCCCAAAATTTTACTGGAGAAAGGGATCACTTGGTATATGTTAAATAATCTGGTTTTACCTACTTAATTAATAAACTTCAGATAATTTTACTGAATGTCATTTGATTAAAAAATTCAGAATTCAGAACAAAAAACAATATTAATATTTAAAATTATAAAATTAAGGCTATGTTTGATCAATAACAAAGTGAATGAATCTAAATGATGAATCTAAAAAAAATTATCTGACCTAAAAGATAAGAAGGTGTCTGACTGTGGACCTAGTCTTTGCCCTCCAGCAGCTGCCAGTCAGGGGAAGTTCTGAAAACTCCATAAGAGGTTATTTTCTGCAGGAAAGATAAAAACATGTCAAGTCACCATTTAATTTTTCACATATTTTTGAGCCTAATATTCCTAATTTTAATTTTTTTCTCAATGAGCATGAAAACTAAATATTCCTATAATTTTCAAAAAAAAGATGTGCTTCCTATTTCTCTCATCCTCACAGGTATTATAATTACAAAATATACCAGGGAATATGTCCTAGTTATTTATCCACTGTTAATAAAATCCAATTTTATTAAAGAACACAAAAGCATGGAGCAAATCATTGTGGAAATCAAGAGAGTTTTGGAAGAACTGAAAACAGGTGTATTGGTCTTCTTGGTCAGAAGTTTTTGCATGTTTTCTTTCTCCTTTGTTTTATCTTCATTGTGTTTGAGATATTTGTTTCCGTCTGGATGCACGAAGAAACACATTCATTTCATAGCACCTACAGATGCATTTTTAATAGGTTTAAAAATAGCCACTGGCACTTATTAGCCTTCAATTACCTTGGTTGCCTCCTATGTAAAACATTTGCTGCTGTTTATCTTTTTGATACACTAATCATAAAAAAAACCTTAAGGGGACTCGTTATTTTTTGTTCCAAATCTACCAGTATGCTTCATCACTACATCTGTCTCAGTCCCATCATTTTTATACCTGTTCAACTTTTACTACATGTTGTCCAGGGTGCAGGTGCCCTGGCACTGGCAGTGGGAGTTGCAGGGGCCTCTGTGAGGAGGGACCTATGGTGGTGGCACCTCAGGGAAATGCATTTAAGATGGGGAAAAATGCCAGTGAGCGGAGTGAGGGGAAAACAAAACCTGGAAAATGGGAGAGGGAACAAGAGGGAACTTGTTTTATGGTCAGAGAAGAAGGAGATGCTCTAGGTACTGAAGCAGAGAAAAAATATGAGCAGGAAGGAGAAGTAGACGGGAGCTGTTATTGACTGTTCTCCATCCCCCTGAGCCCCTTGGGGTAGGAGGTGTTGAAGCTGGAAGTGGAGGAGTGAAGTTGAGTGCTGAGCCTATGAAAGAGGAAGGAAAGCAACATCTTAATATTTCTGTTCTAATTTCTACTACTGTTTTAATTGGCCATAAATTCAATTAATTTTCCACAAGTTGAGTCTGTTCTCAAGAAGGTACTTGATAAGCAATCTTCCTGTCTTCATCTGTATCCATCATCTTTCTCATTGTGTTTTGTGGTCCTGTGTCACAGGGCGAGAGTGGGTGCCTGACTGGATGGGCAGTCAGGATTAACCCACAACACGTTTACCTCTTTCTTAAAATTCTTCTTATGCCATCCCTTGCCTACACTTCTCAGTCTATTTGTAATTTTATTCTCCTCTGTATCTTGTATTCTATTTATTCGTACAGATTATATCCATATTTTTGTGGTTTGTGTTCAGCTCTACAGGAATCTGTTACTGTACTTTTTATTTTAACTTACTAAAATAATTTTTTCTTTTTCCTTCCTTACGACTGTCAGTCATCTTGTGATTGACCTGATACAAAGCTAACTGCAAATGATACAGAAAGAGGTTCATTTGGATAAGACCATAACAGAAAAATATCGGTATAGTAATCATCTCCAAAAGCAGTATGCCGGTAATAAATGGAATTACTAAGAGAATTATTCTGTTAAACTGGAATGAACTATCAAATTTAAACCCTGATAAAATGAAGATTTTATTTATATTACATTTCTATACACAGAAGTTGCTATAGCCCCTGGAACTAGTTTTCGATCTACAGGAAGTCTATTTCAGTCCGAAATCCTGAATTGTCTGATCTGCGTTTTTCAGAGTACCCTATCTAGGAAGCTTCTTGTAGACTCTTCTATTTATCAGAGGGAAAGCAAGCTAGCTGGATAGCATCTACCTGGATAACAGATCCTAAAGTTGTCCTACATTACACAAACATTTTACTGTAGAGCTGACTCTTTGAATAGGCAATTTGATTGTCTCCATCAAGATTAGAAAGCACGTTTAACAACTGTGACAAATGATTTTAGGTAGAAACAACAGTGAACCATTGTAGGGTATGTTTGGAGACAGTTTTTAAATATATAGTTATTTTCACATTGATGTTCACAAGTCCATAGCTATAAGTAGTAATTTTCTACTGTTTGTTTTGCAATAATTATTTGCTAATGTTTTTGAAGCAAACTGTTTTGTGATTCTTACTGGGGGAGAGATATGAAATCCAGTTCAATTGTATGCTTTACTATCATACAGCAACTTGAATAAGTCAGAGAGTGGAGATTTTAACTGAGTATACGCTCAGACTTTGAGGTCAGGGGAAGTTTTATTTGAAAATGGTAAATGGGATTAGTTCCTAAAAGACTCTTTAATAAAGGTTATCAAATGAAGAGATTTAATAGGTGATCCATAAAAATTTGCATTGTTAAGCATACAATTCTGAATAGTATTTTCTCTTCTTCCTGAGTTTAGCCTGTGGTTTACTACCTGTCAAGTCGTGACTGCTTCCAAAATGCCATATATGTTAACTTACCTTTCCCCAGACACAAAATATGCTAATCTTGACCTATTGCTAGTTGGTTTTAATACTTTCTTCCAATCACTCAGTTTTAACTTTTCTCCATAATTCCTGTAAAATTGCACACTCTTACATTGCAACCTTAAAACTGCAGTGCGTAAGCAAATACAGTTCCACATGTGCATTAAGAAAAATTTCTCATTGTTTCTTTTTCTTGATGACATCTTATTCTTTTCTTCTTTTTTCTTTATTCATACTAAAATGAAATCAGAGAAAAAAGAGATTTTTTTCCCTGTCAGATTATAGCTACCGTCAATGACATAAATAGAAGTTCATTATACAACCAGTGGCAACATTTCATGACATTCCTGGAAGTGGGTTACAACTAGCTGTCCAGTGCCTTTTGGATACAATTCATGATTAAACAGACTCGCCTTATTTTTTATTAGGAAACCCTCAGGGTATAGATAGAAATATAAAAACAGTAACCTGAAACTTTTCAGAGATCAAGAAAAGAATAAACTAAGCAAGTCAATGCGCTGATTTCAGACAAAAACAGATAGGTGTCATAAATATTATGTTATCTAACAGAAAAAAAAAAAGGCTAATCATAAGTAAAAATTATATTTGGAGAGCTAAAATATTTATTATGTTATTGATCAAAGTTTTTCATATCTTGAAGTTATCCTGATATAAAAAATGTACTGGGTTTAGCTTCTAGTCCATCTGCTTAAATTAAGTGCAGGAAAATGTCCTTAGGGAGATCTTGAATGCTAGAATACAGAAGGATCTCTCTGGGGCTGTAAAAATGATACTGAACATTTTTCACAACATGCTACTTCTAGTTGTTTCTGGACAAATGCCAGAGGAGAAGAAAGGCAAGATCTAAGTACCCCTTCAGCTGGTATAAATTAGAAATCATCTCAGCACTGGATCAAGCTAAAGAGTTGGAAAGGTCATAAAAGTTAGAAGACACTTTTACTGCTATCTTTGGCTTTGTGTTTGAGCGGCATCAAGAGTGTGTTTAGCACTGAGAAAAAATTGGGGCATGTCTTCAGAGTTTATTTAATATTTTTATTCATTAATAGGCAAAATGCATTTGTATCCTGGACCTAGTATTTTGGGTTAGAAATCATTAACACTATGAATTACTGAGCTTTACTGGAAGGGTTAAACTGCAGTCTAATTCTTTGGTGTTTTCTGACTCCAAACCCTGGACCAAAACTGTAAGATTTTGCTATGTTATCCTATCCAGCTTCTACATGAAGCAATGAAATTCTAAACCACAATGTTTATATGTGTTTTTATACATATATATAAAAGTATGATATTATTAAAATAAGATTTGTGCTGATGGTCTACCATGTAATCCTATTGCCCACTCAGAAATTCTGCTCAATATTTCATGTACAATAATAAAACATCCCATAGCTCTCTGCTATAGTTTCCAAAGTCCTTTAGGAATAATGTCAGAGGGCACTACTATTTGATTGATGCCACTAGAAAAATATTGCTCCTTTTTGACAGCATTTAATGATTCAGGTCACTAGTCTGAACCATACTCAGCGGTATGGTATACACATATATAAAGTACACACAACCTTTCTTCATGGAGAGTACAAAAATGTGAGCTTTTTCTTTTGAAGGAAAATGTGAATCCATCTCAGGTACTTATTTTTCATACCTGCACAAGTGTATTTGAAAACAAAGTAATGTAAAATAATCAGTTCAAAACTGCTTTTTTTATTTGTAGTCATAAGTGTTCTATAAAGGAAACAAACAAATAATGCACTCAGGAACATATGAAGAAGACATCACAAAAAAAGTAAAAGGAGTCACTTCAAATCTTTTATGAATTAATTTTTTTCTGAGATTCTACAGCTGAACAAGTAGAGTTATAATATTAATAGTAAATGCCATTATAATTATGAGTGGTACATTATCAAGTTACTACTTATAACTATTAGGAAGTCAACAACACCTAATTACAAAATTAGCTTTTTTTTTCTTTCTTAAATAGTAAAACATGAACATGCTGTTTTCTAAAAACATTATTTTCATCATTAAAATTACTGCCTTTTGATTTCTTATGTTTTGAAGACTTAGTTAGTTTTAAATAATTTTGAGGCAGGTCTTTCCAATAAATACCTGATTTTAGAGTTATGAAATATTAAAGAACTGTGTTTTTGTAAGCAAGTGCTGTTAAAAAGTTGGCTAAAAGATAATTTAAATTATTTTTTCCTCTCCTGAGTTCTAAGGATAATTAATTCTGTCACATGACAGATTACATTTTCAGTATCACAGAATGCAGATCTCAGAAAACACTGAGTACTTGTGTCATAGCTCAGTCAGCTCCCATATGATGTAAATCAATATACTGATACTGAAGGCACTAAAGCCACATGTATCTACAACAGCTAAAAATCCAGACTTTTATATTCACCAGGTTGATTTTCTCATTTTCAGATGTCTCTCCAAGCACTGTTGCTTTCACTTCATTGTAAAGGAATTCCATACAAATTTAC